GAGAAGCTGAGGGAGGAGATGAAAGAAGTGGGAAACAAATTGACTTCAGCTCTGAAGCTCTGCGCTGTCTCCTAACAATAGTTGAAACAGACTTCAGAGGACATTTCCCTGCCCCATTTTCTGCTTCTGAGTAGTAGTCATTGGTGTGTGGAGAACAGCAAGAGTTCTGTGATCTCCTTTTTCCTCCAGACTGGCTGTGGTCTTCATTGCCATGTTTCACTGCTGGGGCAGATGATTCTGAACGGCAGATGATTCTGAACTCTCTTTTTGGTATAGGTGATGAAAGAATGCCTAAGTCAACTTGCTGGCCTTCAGATGTGATCTGCCAATGGCCAGGGATGATGGGTTGTGGTCCAGCAATATCTGAAGGACCAAGGGGAACCACCCTGGGTGCAAGTGGCTGCCCCAAGGTCAACTCAATGAGCTTTGCAGATGAGCATGTATTTAAGGCCAGCTTTCTTTGACCATAATCTGACATTTTAACCATTCCCCCATACTAGCCCTCTCATTCCTAAACCTAAACACACTGGATCGTATCCAACATGGCGCTCAGCAAGGCTCCCATCAGCACAAACATTTCCAGTTGCATAATGGGACTCCCTCCTCTCTTCCCTCTACGTGCCCCCTAAAACTATTATGGGGGTCCTCCCACTCTCTGAAGGGACCACAGAGCCTAGGGCTTGCCAATCAGAAGGTCGGCGGTTCGAATCCCTGCAACGGGGTGAGCTCCCGTTGCTCAGTACCTGCTCCTGCCAACCTAGCAGTTTGAAAGCACATCAAAGTGCAAGTAGATAAATAGATACCACTCCAGTGGGAAGGTAAATGGCATTTCCATGCGCTGCTCTGGTTCGCCAGAATCGGCTTAGTCATGCTGGCCACATGACCCGGAAGCTGTACGCTGGCTCCCTTGGCCACTAAAGCGAGATGAGCGCCGCAACCCCAGAGTTGGCCACAAATGGACCTAATGATCAGGAGTCCCTTTACCTTTACCTTTTACCACTCTCTGAAGCAGATTTGGGGAGGGTATGGAGCACACGCCACAGGGAGGGGAAAATCCTGTTGACACAAGTGAAAATCCTTGCATTGGCAGGATGCATTCGTTGAATGCCACCCAATGACCTGCAAATAAGTTCACCTGGACCCATCCATGACTTGTTTCCAAGGAAAGGCATGCAAGATGGGCTTGATGAGTGTGTGTCTTGCAGCAATCCCTGGAAAATCTACGCACATCCTTTCAGGTGTTTCTTTTGATTTTCAGAGCCTGATAAGAAGGGGTTGATTCACACTTAACACTGACACTGATAGTTCCTACAGAAGCCAAAACGGTGGGGCTATTTCGGAAAACAGTGTTTAAGGCTTATAATCCTTCACTTCACCAGCTTTGAGAAGGCTGCCTTCCTTCTCTGCCACGGCAGTAGTTTGTGGCCTCTGATGGGAATCATTCTCCCCTTCTTATGAAAGAGAGGGGCAATGCTTTTGTTGGCAAAAGCTTCACACAGCATGCTGAATTTATTAAAATAGGCAAAGAAGAGAGGTGGTCTTCTGAGTTACAAGAAAAACACACACGCATTGAACATAGGAATATTAACTATATAAGACTGTTTAAAATAGCACTTAATTGACTCCTTCCAGTGCAGCTCGGTAGCAAATAGTTATAGAACTGTGCTGAGCAGGGATCCTGTCTGGGCCGGCAGAAAGGGTGGGTGGGAGCGGCGGTGGGAGTGAGGGAGAAGCTATAAAAGGTGGGCTGAAATTTATTATATGAACAAAGTCTTCCTTAAACCTTTTATTTAAGCCTCCAGCCCCTAAGTTGTTGGCTTCTCGCAGGTCAACCTCAACTACTTTAGCATAGTGAAGTATGAGAGAAGGCTGAATATCATTACATTTGAGCTGTGCCTATTTTCTCCCCACATGAAATGTAAAACATCTCGACTCAGGGGGGCCTGGGAACACTTAAAAGGCATCTATGTTTTTCGTTCTATTTTTAAGCAACTAAAACCTCTGGAAAAAATGTTCCCCCTAAATGGTTTAAGCTGTCCATCTTGAAAGAAATTCTTAAAAACACACACACAACCCCCCCCAATATCTGAGTATTAAATTTATTCTAGATCCTCAACATTGATTCAGCTAACATTTCAACATGTTGACATGGATTCTAATGGCCCAGTCACACTGGGTGCATGGTAGCTACAGGAGAAGAGAAGAAGAAGAGTTTGGATTTGATATCCCACTTTATCACTACCCGAAGGAGTCTCAAAGCGGCTAACATTCTCCTTTCCCTTCCTCCCCCACAACAAACACTCTGTGAGGTGAGAGAGGCTGAGAGACTTCAGAGATGTGTGACTAGCTCAAGGTCACCCAGCAGTTGCATGTGGAGGAGCGGGGAAGCGAGCCCAGTTCACCAGATTACGAGTTTACCGCTCTTAACCACTACACCACACTGGCCCGAAAGGGCAGCATGTCTCAGTTCCTGTATTGCAGGCATGTCCAACTTTCAAGAGACTGCGATTTACTCCCACTATAAAAAAAACTGGCAGTGATCTACCAAAGTTGTTGAGCACTTTTTTTTAGGGAGACAAAGTTTCTGAGCTTTTTTTTGGAGGGAGCAGATCCTGCGATCTACCCACAATCGACCACAGAGCTCCCACGATTGACCAGTAGATTATGACCGACCTATTGGACAGCCCTGCTGTTTTGGATGCATACCACTCAAAACAGAGTGATCTTAATCCCTGACTTCCCATGGCTCAGGAAGCAGTGAAGGTATCACCAGTGGCGTAGCGTGGGGGGTGCAGGGGGGCCGGCCGCACCGGGCGCAACATCTGGGGTTAGGGCAAATCCATGGGTTAGGGGGCGCAAATCCACAGGTTAGGGGGCGCAAATCCACGGGTTAGGGGGCGCAAATTACTTGCCTTGCCCCGGGTGCTGACAACCTACGCTACGCCACTGGGTATCACTCCAACTCTGCTCAGGTGGGTTGGTCACTATGGAGGTGCCACTGCATCTGGTGAAACTGTGGGCAGGTAGAAGCTACTACAAGTAGTCTCTCCACCAGAGGAACCCCCTAACTGGGGGTTACTCTTCTTCCTCTTCTCATGTTTCAATGCTGAATGGTAATTTAAGTTCTTTCTTAAAAATCTCTGCAGCCACTATTTCCTACCCTTCCAATAGCCCAGAAGGATGCTAGGCCTGACGCACTGGGGTGGATTCAAAATGGCGGACACTTTGCCAACAGCAGCAGAAAAAACAAAGCCAAACTTGGTGACAGAGGCTGCCAATGGTGAGCCCCCACCCCTGGGAAACTGTTGAAGAGCTTCCCATCTCCTTGGAGAAACAGGTCATAAGAATCTTGAGAAATGTAGTTTACCCCTCACATCACAGCGTCCTTAACACACTACAGTTCCCAGAATTCTTTGGGGGAAGCCATGCGTTTTAAATACATGGATGTAGCCTCGGTCTTTCCTTCAATTTCTCTGCCCACAGAGGGGAGAATTTCAAGAGGCCATTTTGCGCACAGCTCCAGAGTTAACCTCCCACAGACAGATCGTTATCCCACCAGCTTCTCTGTCCATTTTCTCCTTGTTCAGCAGACTGAAAGATGCTTAGGCCTTCACTGCTGTCATCCAGCACAGCTAGCAAGATTTGTTACTGTGGAGACCACTGATTCCCTCCAGATTGTATCGATGCCTTTTTGGACTTGGGTACCAGTTTTTATAGGGACGCGGGTGGCGCTGTGGGTTAAACCACAGAGCCTAGGACTTGCTGATCAGAAGGTCGGCGGTTCGAATCCCTGTGAAGGGGTGAGCTCCTGTTGCTCGGTCCCTGCTCCTGCCAACCTAGCAGTTCGAAAGCACGTCAAAGGGCAAGTAGATAAATAGGTACCGCTCCAGCGGGAAGGTAAACGGCATTTCCGTGCTCTGCTCTGGTTCGCCAGAAGCGGCTTAGTCATGCTGGCCACATGACCCAGAAGCTGTACACCGGCTCCCTTGGCCAATTAAGCGAGATGAGCGCCTCAACCCCAGAGTCGGCCATGACTGGACCTAATGGTCAGGGGTCCCTTTACCTTTACCAGTTTTATGGGTGTCACAGTGCAGATGGTGGAGAATGGTTTTTCCCTTTTTCACCATAAAAAAGTTTGAAAAACCACCCAGAGATGGAAAGAAGAAAAAGTCCCCACCAGAGAGGAATGGCAAACTAAATTGTCAGACTATGCTGAGATGGCAAAACTGACTGGGAAACTCAGAGACCAAGAAGAAATTCAAGAAAGAATGGGGAAAGTTTCTAATTTATTTAGGAGACCACTGTAAGCAGATGAAAACATTAGCAGGATTTTAATCTCACTTGTAATGCCACAAATACTACGGACAATATGGATGGTTATAGAACATAGATTATGAAATAATATGCAGTCAGAAATGTTGACAACAGGACCCATGGAGTGGATGGGGGGGGGAGTCTCGAGATTCAGAGAAATCTCATTTTATGGATATGTATTTGGTATTGTAACTACCGTATCTTTCGCTCTATAAGACGCACCAGATGACAAGACGCACCTAGTTTTTGGAGGAGGAAAACAAAAAAAAAAATATTCTGAATCTCAGAAGCCAGAACAGCAAGAGGGATCGCTGCGCAGTGAAAGCAGCAATCCCTCTTGCTGTTCTGGCTTCTGGGATAGCTGCGCAGCCTGCATTCGCTCCATAAGACACACACACACATTTCCCCTTACTTTTTAGGAGGGAAAAAGTGAGTCTTATAGAGCAAAAATTACGGTAATTTACATTTGTAAAATAAAAATTCAAAAGCTAAAAAAAGTTTGATAAACTAATTCAGCCTTTGGTACAGCCCCATAATGCTCACCCGCTACCGAACCGTAAGCCTTTTTATTGATATAGCGTATTCCTTCCTTCTGTTCGCTTTGTGACAAATTGGAAAGATCACAAGTGCCTTATTACCAAATAAGTAAGTAAATAAACTCAGTTAGGCTGGCCTGGTTTGGGTATTTAGCCCTGGCCAAGCCCAAACTCATCAGGAGAGTTGTTCAGATTTAAAATATCTTCTATGACTGGTTCTTTGTCTTTGTCTTTTCTCTTTTTCTTTTTCGCGTCTTCCGATGGTCTCAGTAGAGAGAGTTCTTCTGGCCGTCTGATACCTGGGACGGAGTTTAGGAAGGCAAAAATGGAAACATCTTTGATGAGAACAGGCTGAAAAGGCTTCCCTCATTTGTGCTTCCTGAGCTTTGACAAATTTGGTTGAGCTCTTGCAGCCTTGCCTATGCTTGCAATATTTCATTTGCAACCCTCCCTGGACAAATTTATTATACTGAAGGGCAGCACATACACGTTATGTTTCTTTTCCTCACATTTTCTGTATTAATAAAAGTTATTTTTAGGGAAGGGGGAAACCTTGGAAACGAATAAAAATAAAATAAACATTAACCTGACTACCTACGAGCTGGCAATTCAAACAAGAAATTTTGTGTGTTATTTGCTTTGCTTTTCCCAGTGTATGGGAACATTCTCCTTGCTTGCTTGACCAAGGTGCAGGGATGAGAAACTGCAGGGCTGAATCTCTGCATATGTAGAACAAACATGGTCTGATGTGTATGAATGACCCTATTTTATTTCGTCAGTCAACTCAAGCAATAGAACTAACTGCTGATATTGTAGCAGAAGTACTGCAGTGTTCTGAAAACACAATCAATTGTATTAGGTGCTTCCGACTTTCCCTTCTTCTTTAATTACGGTCTTATAGCCAAACAATGCTTTTATTCTGTTAATTTGGTCACACATATTCTCCCGCAGGCTGAACTAATTTATCTGCTCCATAACTGTTATTTGTGGTTAGGAAGACTGAAGAGCCAAATTCCAGTTGAGCAATATCTGGGGCTTTCATCATAGTAATTGTGACACTCAAGACAGGTTTACAGTCATGCGCTAGGAATTTAGATAGTAAATTGCACAGCTGTTAATATGGCTCGGGGTGACAAATTCCATCCCTGGGGAGCGTGCGCGTTAATTCACATGCCACAGGAGATGTGAACGATATGCACTGCGGTCATTCCGAAATTCATGGCCTTAAAACAGACTTATTGGGTTGAGGCAGCAACCTCAAGCTGCCGTGTCGATGCAAACGCCATTAACTCTGTGAGATTTGTACCAGTAGGAACATGGTGCATTATCACTGCCACTTTGACAGTTTCAGAAACACTCCTCCTCACCTCTCTCTAAAGATAGATACCATATTTTTTCGCTATACAAGACGCACCAGACGACAAGACACACCTAGTTTTTGGAGGAGGTAAACAAGAAAAAAAATATTCTGAATCTCAGAAGCCAGAACAGCAAGAGGGATCGCTGCGCAGTGAAAACAGCAATCCCTCTTGCTGTTCTGGCTTCTGTGATAGCTGACCAGCCTGCATTCGCTCCATAAGATGCACATACATTTCCCCTTACTTTTTAGAAGGGAAAAAGTGAGTTTTATAGAGCAAAACATACGGTAAATAATTTTATTGCAATGGTGCATTCCATTTTTCTTCCCAAAAACAAATCCAAAGTTGCTCACCGGGGGTGGGTGTGTTGAAGTGTAAAGGGAGGGGGGTTGATTAAGTATGGGGGAAGGATAGTTTGCAATGGGGTTGACAAGTAGGTGGGGCAGCGAAACGAGCAGGGGCAGAAACCCTAGTGTGTGTCTGTGTATACTCTGTCTGTCTATCTGTTTGATAGTCATCTCTGCTTCACATTAACCAAGGTATATATTTGAGATATTTTCTGGATATAATAGGTCCCTAAAGTTTAGTCTATATCCTCTTTCTTTTTGAGAGAAAATGTTTCTATTCTTTCTTTCTTTTTTGGAATAACATTATTATTATTATTACGTTTTTACATCAAGTTTAAGGTACATAAAAATAAAACACATAGAACAATACCTGTAACAAACAAAACAAACAAGTGTGGGACAATCAAATGTTAAATCAACAACAAGGTGCTTCCGTATCCGTGCCAAATATAGTCCAAAATCTTCCGAGAGTTGTGGGAGGGTGAAGAATGCCCTCAGACTTAAGTTATATGCTCGATAAATGTATAAAGGTAAAGGTAAAGGGACCCCTGACCATTAGGTCCAGACGTGGCTGACTCTGGGGTTGCAGCGCTCATCTCGCTTTACTGGCCGAGGGAGCTGGCGTTGAGCTTCCGGGTCATGTGGCCAGCATGACTAAGCCGCTTCTGGCGAACCAGAGCAGCGCACGGAAACGCCGTTTACCTTCCCGCTGGAGCGGTACCTATTTATCTACTTGCACTTTGACATGCTTTCGAACTGCTAGGTTGGCAGGGGCAGGGACCGAGCAACGGGAGCTCACCCTGTCGCAGGGATTCGAACCGCCAACCTTCTGATCAGCAAGTCCTAGGCTCTGTGGTTTAACCCCCAGCATCACCTGCGTCCCTCAATAAATTTATACCATATGGCATAAAATTTATCTGCTTCCGGACCATTTCTTTGAGCCTTTACTTGAAAGGTAAGGTTTTCCCTCAGAGCAATTTGCCACATTTCCTTATATTCTTTTTTCTTATAATTCAAACCCAATTGTTCAAGTCCTGCTCTCTGGAGCAATAGGAAATAAATCTGCCCAGAATCTAGGTGAGAGTTCTTCCGCTATTTTGTCCAACTGCTTTCAATGCAGGAATCTTTTGCTGAACCCACAACCTTGAGATTAAAAGTTCCATGCTCTACTGACTGCGCTAACTGAGTCAGATACCCAACTCATTCATTCATTCAGTGTTTCCTCTTTGGACTTGCTCCCCAGGCCCCTCACTGTCTTCGTTGCCCTCTTCTCTACTTATTAATCTATTTAATATACTGCCCTGCCCTTTATCTGTAGATCTCAGGGTGGTTCCTGCTCCCGTTAGCCTTCTTTGAACAACCGTGCCCAGAGTACTCTAGGTGGGGTCTGGCTTAGCCTACAGACAGTAAAGGTAAAGGTAAAGGGGACCCCTGACCATTAGGTCCAGTCGTGGCCGACTCTGGGGTTGCGGCGCTCATCTTGCTTTATTGGCCTGGGGAGCCGGCGTACAGCTTCATGTGGCCAGCAGGACCAAGCCGCTTCTGGCGAACCAGAGCAGCGCACGGAAACGGCGTTTACCTTCCCGCTGGAGCGGTACCTATTTATCTACTTGCGCTTTGACGTGCTTTCGAACTGCTAGGTTGGCAGGAGCAGGGGCCGAGCAACGGGAGCTCACCCCGTGGCAGGGATTTGAACCACCGACCTTCTGATCGGCAAGTCCTTGGCTCTGTGGTTTAACCCACAGGGCCACCCGTGTCCCTCTACAGATAGTACCTCTGATCTAAAGAAGTGCTATGAATGATATCCATGCAAGGAAGGATAACTGCTCCACAACATAAACCATAATTGAAATACCACCCAAAGAGGTATTAAAACCAGTCTGCAATGTAGCGTCAGGTGGAGAAAAGAGGTACACTGTTCAGAAAAATAAAGAGGTACCTTGGCTGTTTGAAAAGCTGATTGTAGATCACAACCAACCTTACATATATGAGCAGAAAGCGCTTATATAGATTCAAATAATAATAATAATAATAATAATAATAATAATGATGATGATGATGATGATGCACAGGTGAGGACAGGGTGGATTTGATTTAAATCAATCGATTTTATTTAAATCAATCACGATTTAAATCAATAGTCAGTAAGACTTGATTTAAATCATATATTTTTTACAGAAAGACTCGTTCTTGCTGGTATAATCTTAATATTTGCAACCAGATGAAGGTTTCATTTTTGGAATAATAAATTTTCAGAGTGGTTTTTACAGTTATATCAAAAATGACTGATTTGGTTATACTACTAGAAATATGTTGACAGAAAATTATGAAATGATTGTGAGGTTAACTTTATATTTGGACAACTTTTCTGCTGTACTTTACTGGAAGGAGAAAAATAACCATTTCCTTAATAACAATTCAAACAATTTATTTAATTAAAACAATAAAACATTATAGCATATGTATGCAGGTTTGTTAACTGATGTGGTTAAACGCTTTTTTAAAAACCACACACCTTAGACTGAGTTTTAGCACACATGAAAAACTTAAAACAAATCCTTATTTCCTGATGAATAGCCTTTGGACTATAATGTAACTTAAATAGAAAACTATCTTTAGAAAGATTTTTCCTCCAAAAGCATTTTATTTTAAAAATCCGATTTAAATAAAAAGAAAATCCAATTTAAATTTAAAAATCCATTTTTTAAATTTGATTTTAAAAAAAAAATTGATTTTTATCCACCCTGGGTGAGGAGGACCATATTTCCTTCCTGCGACAGCTCCACATGCGGTGTTGCTCTGTAAAATTCCCCCTGACCCTGGCAACTTGGAAAAGGTTTTTCTGGAGCAATGAGAGTTGCAACTGGAAGGTGCATGGATGAAAAGCCTTGGAGAATGCAGAGGAGACAATGCATGATAGTAGCAACTCTGACTAGTACAGTGGTACCTCGGGTTAAGTACTTAATTCGTTCCGGAGGTCCGTTCTTAACCTGAAACTGTTATTAAACTGAAGCACCACTTTAGCTAATGGGGCCTCCTACTGCTGCCGCGCCTCCGGAGCCCGATTTCTGTTCTCATCCTGAAGCAGAGTTCTTAACCCGAGGTACTATTTCTGGGTTAGTGGAGTCTGTAACCTGAAGCGTCTGTAACCTGAAGCGTCCGTAATCCAAGGTACCACTGTATTGGGCTTTCATCCAATTAGCTTGGGATTAACCCACTGAAACAAACAGTACAGTGGTGCCTTGGTTGTCCAACTTAATCTGTTCTGGAAGTCCGTTCGACTCCCGAAACCTGTACTCAGTTGGAAGCCATGGAAGTTGCATCAGATGTTTGGCTTCTGAAAAATGTTCGCAAACCAGAACACTCACTTCCGGGTTTGCGGCGTTCAGTAGCCGATTTGTTCACGAGGTAAGCCGTTCGGGTACCAAGGTACCACTGTATAGAATATCTATATATGGGTAACACAGATAACTGAAGAAGCAACTCTTTCCTTTAATCACAGAAGCAGAAAGCCTTAGGAATTATAACACGCACTGAACAACATAGGGCGAAATTTACCAAAGCCAGATGTTGTTCTGTTTCCATCCTTTGCAAAGAGCGGTTTCATGGGAAGCCAACCACAAGGCAAAAGATACGGAAGGGATTGCAGTTGTGGGAAGGGACATAGGTCAATGGCAGAACACAGGCATTGGGAGGCAGCCTTGTCTGAAAACCTGCAGAACTGCTGCTAGTCACACTTCCGGTTTACCACGGAGCCGATTTGCAAGCGGGATTCAGCCCTCTGGGGAGAATCCAGCTTTTCAGGGGAAAACGGGGTTTTTGCAAGGGCGCCGCAAGCCCCCAAAAGCCTCAGGAGGAAGATCCTGAGGACAGGATCCCTGCAAGCCGTAGAGCGGTCTCTCCGCTACCAAAAAAAGCTCCTTTAAGGAGCAAAAAGAGCAGCGAGATTGAGACGCCGGCACGGGACGCCATTTTCTACCCTCGAGAAGCGCAGCCTCAAGCTTGTTCGGCATAGCGGTAGACTCCAAAACACTAAAAAATCCGGATTTAATTGGCGAAACAAATAAGAAATGCGTAAGAAGTGGTTAAAACGGTGGACCATCAGAGGTGCTGGTGGAAGTCTAAAAAGATTGTATAAGTGATAAGTTTTGTGGTACACTTTATAATTTATATGTTAAAATCAATAAAATTATATATATATATATATATATATATATATATATATATGCAGGTTTTGGTGTCCTCGGGTGTCTTCCCGTGTAAAAGTTGGGGTGTCTAGGCGACGTTTCGACGAGGTCTCACTCGTCATCTTCAGGCTGGTGCTTTCGGCTTCTTGTTACTGGAACACTAACCTGGGAACTTCCTCTCTGCCCAGAACATTGGAGGCTATACACCACACCCCCTCAACAGTATTTATAGGAACTCAAACACTGAGATCCTGCTCTGTTCCAGTAACAAGAAGCCGAAAGCACCAGCCTGAAGATGACGAGTGAGACCTCGTCGAAACGTCGCCTAGACACCCCAACTTTTACACGGGAAGACACCCGAGGACACCAAAACCTGCATTCCTGTACCCGTGAAAATCTACGAAAGCATATATATATATATATATATATATATATATAGAACAGCTGCTAGTCAGTGCAGGTAGTACTAAGTATATAATGCATCTTTGTATACTACTAATTGTGTTAGCAAAGAGCAGTCACGAAATTAAAAGACGCCTGCTCCTTGGGAGAAAGGCGATGGCCAACCTAGACAGCATCTTAAAAAGCAGAGACATCACCTTGCCAACAAAGGTCCGTATAGTTAAAGCTATGGTTTTCCCAGTAGTGATGTATGGAAGTGAGAGCTGGACCATAAAGAAGGCTGATTGCCGAAGAATTGATGCGTTTGAATTATGGTGCTGGAGGAGACTCTTGAGAGTCCCATGGACTGCAAGAAGATCAAACCTCTCCATTCTGAAAGAAATCAGCCCTGAGTGCTCACTGGAAGGACAGATCCTGAAGCTGAGGCTCCAATACTTTGGCTACCTCATGAGAAGAGAAGACTCCCTGGAAAAGACCCTGATGTTGGGAAAGATGGAGGGCACAAGGAGAAGGGGATGACAGAGGACGAGATGGTTGGACAGTGTTCTCGAAGCTACCAGCATGAGTTTGACCAAACTGCGGGAGGCAGTGGAAGACAGGAGTGCCTGGCGTGCTCTGGTCCATGGGGTCACAAAGAGTTGGACACGACTAAACAACAACAACAATTGTGTTACCAACACATATTCAGGTCACCAAATATAACTACCCAGAGTCTTGGAGAGGCCACACTTACCAAGGGTCCTGCAGATGTCTCCAACTACCTTGAAGACCACGGACGAGAAGCTGACGTTCAGCCTCACCGTCTTCATGCTCGGCAGACGGAGGCGCAACATTTTGTGCTGGACAGTGAACAACAGTTTGGCATCTGCTTGCACCCCATACTTATCCAGCGTCCAGTGAGTTTTGAGAAGCCAGCACTGCTTCTGCTCCCACCAAAGGGCATAGTCTGACCAGTCCTGCGACACTCCTGGGAAAAACAACAAAACCAAGCACAAGTATTAACAACCTGCTAAAGGTGATTGGTCAGGGATGATGGGAGTTGTAGTGCGACAACATTTTTAGGGCTGCGGGTTTCCCATCCTGAGTTCAAAGAACAGGTACCACTATAAGCCTTCTTATGTAAACACGAATCCACCTGGCTCTACTTTGCACCTAGGCTGGTGAGCCAGATTCTTATTTTTCCCAATTCCCCAAGTTTGATAGGTAGGTGCGGCTGCCTATCTGTCTATCCCATGATGTCACCATGACCTCAAGTGACCTCTTTTCGCCACATGTGGGGCTCGACACTTGGAAGCCCCGACAATCAGCTGAAAGCCTAATTTGAAAGAAGGAAGAACAAGCCTTGTTGTTGCTCTTGTTAATCAACGAAAGCCAGAATCTCTTGGCCGTCTACTGCAGTGATGGCCAAACTTGCCCCTCCAGCTGTTTTTGGACTACAACTCCCATCATCCCTAGCTAACAGGACCAGTGGTCAGGGATGATGGGAGCTGTAGTCCCAAAACAGCTGGAGGGCCAAGTTTGGTCATCACTGGTCTACTGCAAATCATCCAAGCATTACTATTAATTATAATTATTTGTCGCTTGCTACAAATCTCTCTCTCTCTCTCTCTCTCTCTCTCTCTCTCTCTCTCTCTCTCAAAGTAGCTTACAATTTAAAAGGAAAACAAAGCGTACAATACAAAAATAAGGTAAAGGTAAAGGGACCCCTGACCATTAGGTCCAGTCATGACCGACTCTGAGGTTTTGGTGCTCATCTCACTTTCTTGGCCAAGGGAGCCGGCGTACAGCTTCCAGGTCATGTGGCCAGCATGACTAAGCCGCTTCTGGCATACCAGAGCAGCGCATGGAAACGTCGTTTACCTTCCCACCGGAGCAGTACCTATTTATCTACTTGCACTTTGGCGTGCTTTCGAACTGCTAGGTTGGCAGGAGCAGGGACCGAGCAACGGGAGCTCACCCCATCGCAGGGATTCGAACCGCGACCTTCTGATCAGCAAGTCCTAGGCTCTGTGGTTTAATCCACAGTGCCACCCGCGCCCCACAATACAAAATTAGAATGCAGCAAAAGATTAAAAGCATTGGGAGGAACTCAAGTGTTGCACTACTGAGTCATTCTGTCAGTGCAAACATTTCTGCTTGTCACACAGAATAATCTCCCCTCTTCTCCCCATGCACAACATTCTGGGGGTTCTCCTGACCCCCCCCACAGCCAATTTTGGGGGTGGCGGGAGCCCTGTTGCACTAATGGACTTCCTGCACTAACTCCCACTAGTGCAACTATTTAGTTGAATCCAGCCCTTTATTACCAAAAAGGGTTCATCCTGCAATAGCTTAAACAGGACACATCCTACCCCCCCCAAAAAAAAACATGAGCACCAATGAAGAGTTGTTGTATAGTGACACTTGAAGAAACTGCCCATATAAGGATATTAACCAAAATGTTCTGCGTTGGTGCATATACAGAAAAGCATATATCATTGAACTCACTGATTTGTTCCACGAGCTTAAGCATCACTCCTCCAATGTGAAGATCTCCTGATACTTGGAGGGTGCTTTCCTTTTGCTCCCCTCCGCACTGGTGATCAATAGCAACAATGAGCTCCCAGGAACTGGAACCATATTCATTCGACGAAGTCATATTGCTACTGAAAATCCCAGAGGCTCAAGAATGGAGGAAAAGTCAACATCTGTTCAGAAAGAAAGCAGGGGGAGGAGAAAAAGAGAGGCATTTATTTTCTTGCACAGTTACCCAGCTGTGAAGGCCACTTCACCTGGTTTAGGACCAAGATGACGGAAGCCAACTAAAGATATTCCCATGAATGTTCGGCTGGTGCCTTCATTATATACCTTTAGGCTCCAGGCAAAAACATTCCTTTTTAACCAGGCCTTTGGCTGAATGACGTCCAATGCCCTTTTAAAATGTGATGTGATATGTGTGTGTGTGTTCTTGGGTTGTTTTTGTTTCTGTTTTGCTTATGTATTTTTGTGTTTTTATATTGTGATTTTATGTTGTGAACCGCCCTGAGACCTGTGGGTATAGGGCGGCATGCAAATTTAATAAATAACAGTAATTATTTCTAAATAATTACTGGTTACAACCAAAAACATGGTTGCCATCAATTTGATTTGAATTAATTTTATAATTAAATAATTTTAGAATGTTGTATTATTTTATTGTTGATAGCCGCCCTGAGCCCGGCTTCGGCTGGGGAGGGTGGGATATAAATAAAAATTATTATTATTATTATTAAATGATATTATATCCTGAAGTGCATTCCATAGTTTTCAATGGGGATGCCTTTTCTGGAGAGATTCTGTGGATACATCCCATTCAACGCAATCCTTGGAATCTCCCCCCCCCACCAATAAACAGGAAGAACCACTAATTAAATTCCAAGGAGCTTCTATGAACAATTATTTTCCTGAACTCTGTGACCCAGCAACAACAAAAGAAAATCCTCTGCTATCCATCAAACTCAATAAATATACCAGATGTCTCTTGTTTTCAAGGTCATGTCTTTTTCTTTAACACTCCCCTCCCCCCCCCCACACACCACTCCCCTCCCAATAGTTTATTCAAGACTTGAAAGTCCATTAAATCTGCAATCTTTTAAGGTGCTCCTGTGGAAGGAAATTGTGGTGCTGGAAACCATGTTTGTTAGAGCAATCACCCTTATGGCTCTGCATATTATTTAATCTGCTTAGAAGATTCATTCATAGTAGAAGATAACTACACTAAGGTCTGGAAAGAAATTAAGAAAGACCTTGATACTTGGAATAGGTTGAAATTATCTTGGACTGGAAGGATGGCCGCGATTAAGATGAGTATTCTTCCAAGATTATTATTTCTATTTCAGAGCATCCCGGTAATTAGAGGTACAGCGTGCTTTAAGAACTGGCAAAAAAATCCTAGCTAAATTTATATGGCAAGGGAAAAGGGCAAGGATTAAATTTAAACTCCTCATGGATCTAAGAGAAAGAGGGGGCTTCGCAGTTCCGAACTTAAAGCTTTACTATGAAGCTGCCTGCCTTTGTTGGATAAAGGAATGGGCCATTCTAAAAAACACAGATTTGCTAGACCTAGAGGGTTTCAACATCAGATTTGGTTGGCATGCCTATCTGTGGCATGACAAAGAAAAAGTTCACAAAGGCTTCTCTAATCATATTATCAGAGGTTCGTTACTGGAAGTCTGGAATAGGAATAAAAGCGTATTGAAAAAGATACCCCCTGGTGGCTGTCACCAATAGATATCTTAACAACTAAAAAATCAAATTTGGAAAGTGAAAGATGGACATACGAAGATCTCCTAGTTAAATCAGAAAGGGGGTGGAAAATTAGACCCTATGAAGAGCTGAAGGACAAATTAGCTGGATGGATACAATTTCATCAAATTAATGCGCTGTGGAATGACCATAAAAAAACAGGGATGAGTGAAAAAAAGTCTAGATACCAGGTGGAAATCTTAGAAAGTAATAACAAACTTCTGTCTAAAATGTACAACCAATTGCTAGACTGGGAAACTAAAGATGAAGAGGTGAAAGGAGTCATGGTCAAATGGGCCAAAGACCTTGGATACAACCTGGAATACGATAGATGGGTACAACTTTGGAAGAGAGGCATGAAGTTCACAGCATGTGCCGCTCTCCGAGAAAATATGGAGAAAATGATGTATCGTTGGTACATCACCCCGGCAAGACTGGGGAAGATGTACAAAACCGGAGACAGCTCATGCTGGAAATGTAAAGTTAAAGAAGGTAATTTCTTCCACATGTGGTGGACCTGTGACGAGGTGAAAAGATTTTGGGGACAAATCTATGATGAGTTAAAAAAAAATACTGAAATACACCTTCCCAAAAAAACCTGAAGCGTTCCTTTTAGGTATGATTGGAGAGGAGATTAAAAATGAAGACCAAACATTCTTTCAATACGCAACGGTGGCGGCCAGAATTTTATTAGCGCAAAATTGGAAAACCTCTAACATCCCCACCGTTAGAGAATGGCAAATGAAACTACTTGAATACATTGAGTTAGCGAGAATGACACAAAGAATTAGGCATCAAAAAAATATAAAGTTAAAGAACAATTGGAATAAATTCCTAAGCTATATCGAAGTTAATCTAGGAACTACCAAAATCACAGTGGATGATATTTAAAACCTGCAATGTATAGAGCCGATACATTAACAACTGCAGAAAGGTTATAAAATTACCTAATCCAAACTGAGATGGATGGAAGTCAACTGTCTGTAAGTTAGTCTGTTCTATGCTGATATGTGTTAACCTGATTTTTCTTTCTATTTTTTCTTTTCTTTCTTTTTTTTCTTGTCTTTTTACTATTATTTTGTAAATGTATGTAATGTTTGTATGTAATCTTCAAGAATTCAATAAAAAAAAAAGAAGATTCATTCATTCATCATCATCATCATCATCATCATCTTCTATTATATTTGTATACTACCCCTCATCTGAACATCCTAGAGAGGCTGACAACAGAAAAATACAAATTGAGAACACAAAATACAGAATAAAACAAAAACTTACAACCTCCTTCCCACAAACACATTTAAAAAGCCATAGAGTGTTAATCAGCTGGACACCTGGCTGAGGAGAAGCACTTTCACCTGGCACCTAAAGATATGTAATGATTGGCACCAGGTGAGTCACCACAAGCAGGGAGCCACCACAGGAAAGGCCCATTCTTGTGTTGTGGAGGAGACACACAAAGAAGGGCCTCGGAGATTGATCTCAAGGTCTGGATGGTTCATATGAGGAGAGGCAGTCCTTGAGGTATTGCGGCCCTGGGCTATTTAGGGCTTTATAGGTCAAAACCAGCACTTTGAATTGGGACCAGAAGCTACCGTAATTGGCAGCCAGTGCAGTCAGGCCAGGATCGGTGCAATAAGCTCAAACCGTGAAGAAAAGAAGAAAAAGCTCTTCAGGCAGTGCACAAGCAATTATATCTATCTATCTATCTATCTATCTATCTATCTATCATGGGATGCGGGTGGCACTGTGGGTTAAACCACAGACCCTAGGACTTGCCAATCAGAAGGTCGGCTGTTCGAATCCCCGCGATGGAGTGAGCTCCCATTGCTTGGTCCCTGTTCCTGCCAACCTAGCAGTTTTGAAAGCACGTCAAAGTGCAAGTAGATAAATAGGTACTGCTCTGGCGGGAAGGTAAACGGCGTTTCCGTGCCCTGCTCTGGTTTGCCAGAAGCGGCTTAGTCATGCTGGCCACATGACCCGGAAGCTGTACGCCAGCTCCCTCGGCCAATAAAGCGAGATGAGCGCCGCAACCCCAGAGGTGGTTATATGTGTGTGTGTGTGTGTGTGTGTGTGTGTATTGTGCTGGCTTTAGGGCAGTGTGGGTTGTTACCCCGCACAGGGCACTGAGCCAAGGAGGCACATACAATAACAACAACAACAACTATATTTATATCAGTACCAACTGAGAAGATCTGAAAAAAAGAAACTGTGCCTAAAGGAATTATTGTGAAACTAATAAATATTTAGTGGTGGCAGCAAATTTTGTCCTCGCTCATGGCATCATATTAAAGTCCAGCTCTGAGAGATATATATGCAAATGAATAAATCTTCTAAGTAGATCAAATAATATGGATAGCATATCAGTGTTTATATATGTAAATGTGTGTGTGTGTGTGTGTGTGTGTGTGTGTATAAACACATGACCAAGGCATTCTCTGATATGCTATCCATATTATTTGATCTACTTAGAAGATTTATTCTTTTGAAAAGGAAAGAAAAAGCTCTCCCAGCAGTTTACAAGCATCTACCTATATATGTGTTTGTGTGCTCTTAATATTGTACACTGTCCTGGGATCGTTCGATAAAGGCGGTACATAAATTGATATTCTATATCAATTTAAATTGATATTCTATATATATATATGAGAGAGCTGGGAGGGTCTACTAACTTCTGTGGGCGGTAAGCGTTAAGAACTATCTTTAAGAGCGGACTCCATACAGCTACTTTTTGTATCTGTTTTTGTTTTTTGTTTACATTAAGTTTTCTAGATCACGAAAAAAGCTTTAATAATAATCTAAACAGGCATACGTGTGCACGGCCTCCTCTAGTGCCTTGCTAGCAGACGTGCTGCTGCAACTCTCGAGTCGCACGCTTCCCGCCCTCTGGAAGTAACCCGCGCGCTCCCCACTCCCCATAGCATAGCAACGGCGCAGGTGTTCCCACTGACTGAGCTACTCCGAATCGCGCGCTTCCCTTCCGCAAGCAGCCTGGGAAATCGCGAGCGCGCTGGCACCAGCCCCGGCCACCCGGGCTGCCCCAGATCCCCACCCGATAAGACTTTGATGGTGCCCAAATCCACGCGCTACTCACTCGCTCCTTCCCAAGCCGGGCGCCGTCTCTGCTGCTGCTGCCGCCGCCGCCGCCTCTTCCCGTCCCGGAGGAGCCGCTGGGTGCAGGTCCCGACAGCGCCAGCCCAGGAGGTGCCTCCCTCCTTCCCCGCCAGCCCCACCCTCCGAGGCGGCGGGGCCCCGAGGAGCCGGCGCAGATGTGCCGATGACCTGCGCTCTCGTCGGGCCCCGTGCGCAAAGACGCACGCCTGGCCCGGACGCGAGATTCCACAGTCTCCTCCCTGTCTGGCACCGGCAGGCAGGCAGGTAAGAACAAGCGAGCGCGCCGGGCGGAGCTTCCTGCAGACGCCTCGGCGAAACGCGCGCGGGTCTTTCCCAGCGTCTGGCTGGAGCGAAGAGGAACGGCGTCGAAGCCCAGGAATGCGCCTCCTGCAGTTCTGTGCGCGCTGACTCCGAGGGAAACTGCGCTGGGGTCAAGGAGTAGGCTTGCTGCTCCCCGGTAAGGATGCGCAGCATCTTAGACAGCATCTTAAAAAGCAGAGACATCACCTTGCCAACAAAGGTCCTTATAGTAAAAGCTATGGTTTCCCCAGTAGTGATGTATGGAAGTGAGAGCTGGACCATAAAGAAGGCTGATTGCCGAAGAATTGATGCGTTTGAATTATGGTGCTGGAGGAGACTCTTGAGAGTCCCATGGACTGCAAGAAGATCAAACCGATCCATTCTGAAGGAAATCAGCCCTGAGTGCTCACTGGAAGGACAGAGCCTGAAGCTGAGACTCCAATACTTTGGCCACCTCATGAGAAGAGAAGACTCCCTGGAAAAGACCCGGATGTTGGGAAAGATTGAGGGCACAGGGAGAAGAGGACGAGATGGTTGGACAGTGTTCTCGAAGCTACCAGCATGAGTTTGACCAAACCACGGGAGGCAGTGGAAGACAGGAGTGCCTGGCATGCTCTGGTCACAAAGAGTCGGACCCGACTAAACGACTAAACAACAACAACAAAGGCTGCGCATGGTGGAAGCGTCATGGTCTCCACTTCCCCATGTGCACGTGTTGCGTGCAAGAAGAGCTCCTCTATGGATCGGGCCAAGGGCTCATCATGTTCAGTTTCCCATCTCAAAAATGACAAACTAGCAGAGGGAAACCCCCAAAGCAGGGGTACAAACTTGAATAAAATATGGGGGGCGGCAGGTAAGCCCCTCCCTGCATAATCAATCACAAGATGTGGGGCATGCATACCATCAATGACAATGCCCATCAATTGGGGGGGGGGCTGGCCCCCTCATATTTTATTGGGGCCCCTGAAAGGAGCTCTGCATCTAGGAGTTGGTTCCTATGTCCCAAACACATATATTTATTTAAAAGTTATTCTTCTGTATTGTTGTTATTATTTTCGGCTAAACAGCACAGAAAATAAATACATCCTTCTATGAAGTTCAAGACCTGTGTTACTACATTCTTAGCAATGAGCCGCTATGCAATTTCAATACATTCAGAACTTTCAAATGTTTCCTACCAGACTAAAACCATACATTCTAAACTGAGGAAACGGCATTTCCCGTAAGGATACTAAATAATCTGCTTGTTCCAATGATGATTGCAGAGGGAAAACAAATGTCTACCTAAAATATAAACATAGCTTTACTTAGAACCTATCATTTCAAATGTGTGCTGCCACAAGTTTTGGTGTTCTAAATGAATCCTGATCAAACAAGAGGCACACTAATACGACAAGAGTTGGTTCCCTTCTAATTTATGATAATAATGGTCCAAGATGCTTAGCTAATGACTTCATATTCACATTACAGTGGTACCTCGGGTTACATACGCTTCAGGTTACAGACTCCGCTAACCCAGAAATATTACCTCAGGTTAAGAACTTTGCTTCAAGGATGAGAACAGAAATCGTACAGCGGCGGCGCGGTGGCAGCAGGAGGCCCCATTGGCTAAAGTGTTGCTTCAGGTTAAGAACAGTTTCAGGTTAAGTACGGACCTCCGGAATGAATTAAGTACTTAATTTGAGGTACCATTGTATAAAAAATATTCATATACACTATAAAAAAATGAAAGAGTTCCAGTGATATGTCTATGGGGAGCTCAGGTGTATACAGTGATAAGTACAAATTCCTAAGTTCTAGTTGTTGCAACAAAAACAAATAGTTTTGTGACAGCTTAAAAGCCCAGTAGGTTTATTGCGACACATAGGCTTTCCTTATCCTGAGCCAAACCATGGAGCCACCTGACTCAGTATGATCTACATTAACTGCCAGCATTCCTCAAGGGATTCATGCAGGCCTTTCTCCCAGTTGTACCTCGAGATAAGGTAGGGGGGGAAGAGAGGTAAAGGTAAGGTAAAGGGCCCCTGGACAGACTGGCCACTGTGTTCTCACACGGATGTGTCCAACCAGAAGGAGAGACACAGGCCATTGTGATGTCATGCTGATGTTGAAGGAGAAAGAAACTGGCCAATGTACCAGCCCACAACTGCTGTTCACCTGAACAACAAGGAGACACTGCCTGGCACGCCAACATATTGCTCACCATGTTCATGAGAATTAGGTCCTTCGCACCTTGGACTAAACTGGGTTTTTTTAACTTGCTTTTACTCTCTTGTTCCTGCATATTAGGTTCCCTTACCAGAGGTCTATAATAACAAGGTAATGAATCAACCACATTTATTTGTACACAAAAGGTAGGAAAGGTAAAAGGTAAAGGACCCCTGTACGGTTAAGTCCAGTCAAAGGCGATTATGGAGTTGTGGCGCTCATCTCGCTTTCAGGCCGAGGGAGATGGCATTTATATGCAGACAGCTTTCTGGGTCATGTGGCCAGCAGGACTAAACCGCTTCTGGCGCAACTGAACACTTTGACGGAAGCCAGAGCACACAGAAATGCCCTTTACCTTCCCATCACAGTGGTACCTATCTATCTACTTGCACTAGCATGCTTTTGAACTGCTAGGTTGGCAGGAGCTGGGACAGAGCAACCAGTGGCGTAGCGTGGGGGGTGCCAGGGGTGCCGGCCGCACCGGGCGCAACATCTGGGGGGGCGCGCTCGCTGCCTCCAGAGTCGCCGAAGAGCCTCGGGCGCAGGCTGTAGCGGAGCCGCATGTCTCGCGGAACCGACGAGCTGTGCGCGCGTCCGGGCTGAAGGCGCCCGGTAGGCAGCGGCTCTCAGCGCTCGCCGCTGAGGACGCGCCAGGCAGCCCCTCCTCACAGCCCCGCCTCCGCCGCTGCTGCTGCAGCTGCTGGGCCGTTGCATTTTCCTCGCCTCTCTGCCCACCTCCTCCTCCAGGCAAGCGGCGTCGTTTGGGCGGCAGCGCCAGCGGCAACTCGCAGGTTAGGGGTTGGGGGGGCGCAAATTACTTGCCTTGCCCCGGGTTAGGGGGCGCAAATTACTTGCGTTGCCCCGGGTGCTGACAACTCACGCTACGCCGCTGAGAGCAACACCCTGTCAAGTGGATTTGAACCACCAACCTTCTGATCAGCAAGCCCAAGAAGCTCAGTGGTTTAGACGGGATTGAGCCTGGGAACTTCTCTGCATGTCAGGAAGATATCATTCCACTGAGCCTTTTCCCACTGCTAGATATATCACACACTTATCTGGAGAAAAATAATATTAGTAACAATAACAACTGTTACATATACTCTACTTTTCAGCTAAACTGCGATCGAAGACCATAAAATGCAGGAGAAGTGGTAGGACTGTGACCAAACACAAGGTACTGGTGCTTGCCTTAAAACAGCTAGGAGGAGTTTAGCTGATGCTTTGTTGCTTAGTCTCCACTGATGCTGTGTTTTCATATAGGTAAAGAAGCAATGTTGCAAAAATAACATTTAAACAGTCTCCAGTGCTCTCTCTCTTCCAGAGGAGACCAAACTCTGGTAGCATTGCTCTCCTTCCAGCCCCCTGGAGTCTTACCACAAGTCAGTTAGTTAGAAATGTGAGGAAACTAAGAAAAGCTAAGGGGAACTCTAGAGTGTCACTATTTTGTGGCATGGCACATACCAGATATCCAGGATTAAAGTCTTCTGTTGTCTAGATCAGGCTTCCTCAACCTCGGCCCTCCAGATGTTTTTGGCTTACAACTCCCATGATCCTTAGCTAGCAAGACCAGTGGTCAGGGATGCTGGGAATTGTAGTCCCAAAAAACATTTGGAGGTTCAAGGTTGAGGAAGCCTGGTCTAGATTAACAAACACACTTTTTAAAAAAAATGTGGGATTTTTGCAGCTGGGATGTGAAGAGTGTGGGAAGAACAAAAGATTAGTAGGAAGACCTATAAACACCCTACAAGCAGCTCAGGATGAATGTAGGGTGAATTCTTCTTGTTACATATAGTTTTCCTGTAAACAAAACACAATGAATGTCACAGTCTAACTACTGTATAAGCTTTGGGCAAACAAATCAGGATGGTTGCTGAGTAAACTAGCTGTCTAGAAGAACCCTAATGGACTCCATTTTTCAAAACAGATGAAAGATCATGGAGTTGCGGGGTGAGGAAGAAGTTTGTTAGGGAGCCCAGGGAAATATTTGGGGTACTGGACATGAAGATTCCTATAGCTCAGATTATGGGCACACTATACAGTGGTGCCTCGCAAGACAAAATTAATCCGTTCCGCAAGTCTCTTCGTCTTGTGGTTTTTTCGTCTTGCAAAGCACGGCTATTAGCGGCTTAGCGGCTATTAGCAGCTTAGCGGCTATTAACGGCTTAGCGGCTATTAGCGGCTTAGTGGCTATTAACGGCTTAGCGGCTTAGCGGCTATTAACAGCTTAGCGGCTTTAAGAAAAAGGAAACAAACTCGCAAGACATTTCGTCTTGCGAAGCAAGCCCATAGGGAAATTCGTCTTGCGGAACGACTCAAAAAACGGAAAACCCTTTTGTCTAGCGAGTTTTTCGTCTTGCGAGGCATTTGTATTGCGGGGCACCACTGTACCTTTAAAACACATTCAAAGCTCATCCCCCCCCCCAAAGAATTCTGGGCACTGTAGTTTGTTAAAGTTTGGTGGGAATTGTAACTCTCTGAGGGGTAAACTATATAGCACCCAGAAGAGAAAGAAATGTGTTCTGGATGTGCTTTAAAGGCATAGTGTATAAGCAGCCTCAC